AAAATGTTCATCTGTAAGTCTTTTTACACTTGGATCTCACAATTTTCATCGTGGAAAAAGTTTGCCTGCAGCAAATTTCTTTAGGTTGATAAATATATCAGGTAGACCAGAATAGAAATCTAACAGACTATTTTGTTTGTAAATGTCTCTGAGATGATTACTGGCTTACAAATCAGTTCCATCTGAAAAAAAATTCCTTGCCATCTTCTGGGTGCTACTTCAAATGGATTTTGAAACATTCTTATTTCCTTTCCATAATTATGGAAATCAGTAAATCTGTTCTGGAATTCCACCTGTAATAGGTTCAGTGCTTTGATGCGTCTTTCAATACTGAATTGTACATTCCCTTCCTTCTCAAATTTTAGTCCATTGCAGCATGAGAAGTTTGAAAAGTTAATCTTCACTAACTTGGTTCACAAAAATGTTTAGTTTTGCTTCAAAAGCTTTCAATTCAGAATACATGTCACACACAAGCTTTCCTTTCCCCTGCAACCTTAGATCCAGGCTGATTTCGCACTAGAGCTGCCTCGCTGTTGCGCCACCATTTGCCCCGGTTCTATTAGTCAATTTCACACCTGAATCCGCGCTGCTGATTTTGACGCGCGGCTTCGTCCAATTTCCTCCGCAGTTTCGTTGATCCTAAAAAAACAGGGTCACGAAACTGCGGGGGAAATCGGGTGAAGCCGTGGGTCAAAATCAGCCGCGCAGCTTCGGGTATGAAATTGACCAATAGAACCAGGGCAAACGGCGGCGCAACAGCGAGGCAACTTTAGTGCAAAATCAGCCTTAATGTGTTCAGATGCTCTGTGATATCAGTTAAGAAAGCCAAATCCAGGGTCAGAAAGTACTTCTTGACCTTTTCCTTTCTCCTTGAAAAAGACACCAACTTCATGATGGACTGAAAATTGTTTGAGGACTTTGCCTCTGCTAAGCTACCTGACTTCTGCATGGTACAATATATCTATCTCTGAGAGAAAATTTTGAAACTTGATGATGAGTAAGGCCATGATGCCTGATGTAATCAGTGCTGGATACAACAATACACATCCCATTTTCCTACTGAAGAATCTTATTATACAAGGCTTGCTGATGGATGTTGCAGTGAAATTGCATGGGAAGTGTACCGTTTAATTTCAATATATCTTAATTGATTCTTGCAACTACACCAGTTTAACTTCCCACCATATTTCTTGCAACATCAGTTGTGATGCTTTTCAATTTATCCCAACTCAGACCAAAATCTTCTACTGATTTACGCAACTTCAAGAATGTTTTCTGCAGTTGCAGTGCTTTTAAACTCTGCGGTGCACACAACTCTTCTGTAATTCTGGAGTTGGAATCTATCCCGCTGATAAAAATTAGTAGTTGAGCAGAGTCTATAATGTCACTGCTCTCATCTAATGCCAAAGGAAAAAAATCAAAACTTTTTGCCTTGACAATCAGTGACATATGCAGCTCTTCTCACAGTTCTTCTACATACCTATGATAATAATAATAATTATCGCATAGGTGATTGTAGATGCAGATAAACTGACACCACTAACACAAGATACCTTATCGGGACACATTTCCTCCATTATTTATTTATTTATTCATTTGATTTTTATCCCGTTCTCCCCGCCAAGGCAGGCTCAGGGAGGCTTACATAAAATAGCAGTAACTAAATATAATACAATATAAATATCAGTATAAAATACACATATGGTTATTAAAAACAATTTACATAACGATGGTGGTACAGTAATAGTAAAGTGTATAATGTATCATACAGCGGTAGATCGATGATCAGCAGGCCCAGGCTTTATTTTAACCATGTACTTTTTCATAAATTCACCATCCGTGAATGGTCTACCACTCTCAGCAGTACATTTACCGGTAGCAACATGACAGCTGGCCCTCACAGTAGACAGGTTCTCCTCAACGTGCTTTCTAAAACTATTTTGCTGAAAAAACATTAATTTTAATGGATGTTATCTTGTTCACTTGCACCTCTCCTTGATGTATTGAGTAGCTCTTATGACAGGATTCAAAGTGCTCCTTAACATGGTACTCCTTTAATACTGAGACAGTTTCAAGTCATATCAGGCAAACTACTTTATCCTTGTTTAAAGGAAATATTCAGTAGTCCATTTATCATTAAAGACACGGTGCTCTGCAACTTTTCATTTCTTTGAAACAGCACTTTCTTTTGCAGACATATTCTTAAGCTTTTATAGTCTGAACTTAGACAAAGTAATTTTTAAATCAGTATAAGTTTTTCGTAGCTTTTATGACTTCCTGGCTGTTGTGACTCCTTCCGGGCTTGGTCGAGCGCACGTCCGTGCATGCTTGCTGCCGGCCTCTGTCCAGTAGGCTCCGGCCTGCTGCGTCGCCCCACCTCCGTGCTTTGCCGGCCCAGCCTCCTCTCACTCGCATTGCCTCGCCAGCTGCCGCCGTGTTTCTCCACCGCCACTCGCCGCTCACGCCGCCACTACACCGCAAGGGACGGGTGCTCCCCCCACTCTAAGAGCAGGTACCCATTTGTCTATTTGCCCTTAACGGGCTTTCGAGCCGCTGGGTGGGCGTGTACACCTTAAAAAAATATTTGTACTTTAATATATATTGTTTAGCATGGCCAGCCCTTGCCCAGAGCCTCCCCAGTTTTTGTCAAGGGCTGGCCATGGCCAGGCTGCCCTTCCCCAGGACAGGTTGGTGGCCCACCCCTTTTCCCCTGCACCATCAGCCATGGTGCCGCCCTCCCCTCCCTCCATGAGCTTCAGACTGAGCTGAGCTCCAGCGTACCACCTTCAAGCTGCTCATCCAGTACGGCCGCTCCAGCCAGCTACAGGTGGATGCCCCTAGTTCCCCCCCCCCCCCCCGCACACCCCCGTCGACCCTATTTCCCCCCCCCCCCGTCCCCTCTCTTGCCCTGCATTTATTTCATGGAAGATTCCTTACAACTCATGGCGACCCCATGTTGCTTAAATTAATTAATTAAAGATCTAACTACAGGGCTGCTTTAAATTATATGCAGGGTGTACAGGGGTCATTTCATAGAAAAAGAGGTGCAGGAGCTCCTGCATATGCCACACACCCTGACATCACCGGAAGTGTGTCAGAAGGCAACACCCACCACTCAGGCTCCACTGGACTGTTTTGGATTGCTAGCTATTGGGGAGGGAGGAGGAATGTGCAGATCTGTCATCGCAGAGGAGGGAGAGCTTGTACCTGAAGGCGGGATGAGGGGGGTGGGCTCCTGTGTTTCCTCTAAGCTGAGTTAGTGTGAGCTAGTTCACAATTTTTTAGCCTCCAGCTCACAATTTTTTGTCTCAGCTCAGGAAGGACAAGCTGATTAATGCAGTAGCCAGATTGCTCACTCATAACTTTAATGTCAGTAGCTCACAAGGTTGAATTTTTGCTCACAAGACTCCACAGCTTAGAGGGAACACTGGTGGGCTCTGCAACTTACCTGGCTGCTTCTTGCTCCTCATGGCCCGACTGAGGGCTGCTGGGAGCAGGGGGCGGGGCTTGTTGCATGTGCCCACCCCATGAGCTCCTGACTCCTAACTGCCGGAGCTCCGCTCCTGTGCGCTCCTACAGGAAATGACCCGAGGGTGTACCTACACACCACTGCCCGCCAGCCAAGCCTTAATCATGAGAAGCAAAATGGCAGCCAGGAGGACGGAAACTTGGCTGAAGGAAGATGTGGGAAGGGGAATCCCATAAGCTTCCCTGCTAAGAGAGTACTCCTTCCCTCTCAACCCAAGGGGCCACTCACTGGCTCCTGCAGTCACAGTTGGAGTGGGTAGGGGAGGAGAGGCAGAAGCAAGCAAGGTAAGAAGTCAGAGCAACCAGCTCTTGTTGAGGAAGGAAGGATGCTTTTGCCTGCAGCAGCAACCTCACCAGTAACCTTGGAAGCCACTTGGAGGAGCCTTGATGGGTGGAGCCTATAGAAATGTTCAGTATGCAAAACACTTTGTATCCCCCCCTTTTTTTTGCAAGAGTACCACCAGCCCTTTTCCTGTCCTTTTCCTGCCTTCTTTGCAAAAGCAGGCCAGAATCTCCTGTATCCATCCACACCGCTGCTTTATCTTCCTTACACACATATGTAGCCTTCAACATGGTAACACATTGAGAGGGGGAGTGAAAAAGCTGAGTGGTATGGGTACCTGAGCTTTGCTGGCAAGCAAAACACCCAGAATGGCCAAAATGCTAGTGTGGAGGATAATACAAAGAGGGGACTGACAGAAGGAATTGTGGAGATCAGAAGAAACAATGTTGCTATGGTGTTTTTTTGCAAGAAAGCGACAGGAAGGAGAGCAGTTCGATGGTGCCTCTTGAGGCAGGAAGAAGTGTGGGTCTGAGAGAAAATGCTTTGAGGGTTATAGCAGCAGACAAGCAGGTTGGAGGGCCGCACAGAAAGAGCTCAGGGGCCACATGCGGCCCACGGGCTGCAGGTTGGAGACCCCTGGACTAGGTGAAAAGAGGTGCTCTTGGCAGTGGCTCCAAGCTATTTTTCCAGAAGCAAGCCTGGGTGACAGGACACTTTTTGGTTCTTGGTTAATAGGTTAATAGACCTGCTTAGTTCACTCCTAGACTGGGGCGGGCTCTTGGTTAATAGGTTAATAGACCTGCTTAGTTCACACCTAGACTGTCCAGGGCTGCATGCTATCAGCTATTACGCTATTGTTGGTGTTCACAACTGGATTGGCTTGTCCACACAGGAAAATCCAGTTAGATGTGATTAATGCAACAATATCACAATTCCCAGTGTTGTGTAGATACAGTCCAAGTCAGCTGCTGGGCATTCATTTGGTAGCCAGCTGGGTCTTGAAATTTAATTCAGAGTAGGAACATTCATACACACTTCACAAACCACATTTGACCCACGTGCCACTACGATTCCAGTTCGTGATCACATAGCAAATGCCACTGTATTAAGAACGGGCAGTCAACATCTGATTGTTTGTTAAAATGAACACCGGAAAAATTTTCTTCAGAAACCTCATTTCCATTCACAGGTCTCCCTAGATGCCAGCAAGAGGAGCCAGAACGTAGGTGCCAAGTCAGTGTTCTCATCCAAAACGAGACGGGAGTTGCCAGTCAATATCAAGGACAGAGTTCCTTCTCCTTGTGAGTGATGATATCTTACCAGTTTGGACCCCATTAATGTGTATTTATATTTAGGATTTTTGGCTCCAATGTGCATCACTTTGCACTTGGCCACAGTGAACCTCATTTGCCATGTTGATGCCCACTCACTCATCCTCGACAAATCCCTTTGGAGTGCCTCACAATCCTCCCTGGTTCTCACCACCCTGAACAACTTCATGTCATCTGCAAATTTAGCCACTTCACTGCTTACTCCCAACTCCAAATTGTTAATAAACAAGTTAAAAAGCATTGGACCGAGTACTGATCCCTGTGGTACCCCATTGCTTACCACCCTCCACTGAGAAAATTTCCGATTTATACTCACTCTCTGTTTCCTATTAATTAGCCAGTTTTTGATCCACAAGAGGACTTGTCCTTTTATCAAAAGCTTTCTGGAGGTAAAGGTAAACAACATCTATTAGGTCCCCCTTGTCCACATATTTGTTCTCTCCCTCAAAAAACGTTAACAGGTTAGTGAAACAAGATCTTCTCTTACAGAACCCATGCTGAGTCTGTCTCAATAGTTTTTGTACATCTTGTGCCTACTAATTCTTTCCTTAATAACAGTTTCCACCAACTTACCCGGTGTCGACGTCAGAATGACTGGCCTGTAATTTCCCGGATCTCCTCTGGAACCCTTTTTAAAGATGGGACATTAGCTACCTCAGGAATGGAGGCAGATTTTAATGAAAGATTACATATTTTTGTAAGGAAACCCACAAGTTCACATTTGAGTTCTTTCAGAACTCTTGGATGTACGCTATCCAGGCCTGGTGATTTATCAGTTTTTAAGTTGTCTACCAGTCATAGGACCTCCTCTCTCCTCACCTCAATCTGACTCAGGTCTTTCAACACCCCTCCTGAAATCAGTGGTTCTGGAGTGGGCAAGCACTTCTCATCTTCCACAGTGAAGACAGAGGCAGAAAATGCACTTAGCTTCTCAGCCATTTCTCTATCATCCTTCAGTACTCCTTTCACCGCTTGGCCATCCAAGGGCCCCACTGCCTCCCTTGCTGGTTTTTTGCTATATGCTCCTCATATTCCCTTTTTGCCTGCCTGATCACAGATTTGCATTTTATTTGCCACAGTCTGTGTTCCCTTTTATCAACCTCACTGAGACTAGCTTTCCACTGCTTAAAGGAATCCTTACCTTTTACAGCTTCCATTACTTTGTTAACTATGCAGGCTTTTTTCTATACCTATTTGCGCCTTTCCTAACCTGCGGTATATAATTTTTCTGAGCTTCTAGGATAGTAGTTTTAAATAGTTTCCAAGCTTCCCCAATGGTTTTGACATTTTCTACTTTTCCTTTCAGCTTCCTTCTCGCATGTCCCCTCATATCAGAGAAGTTACCCCTTTTAAAGTTAAAAGGGGTTGTGTCAGTCTTTTTGGGCAACTCCCTATTTATACAAATGTTAAACTCACTAACAATATGGTCACTGTTCCCAAGCGGTGCAATCATTTTTACATCTCTAACCAGGTCTTGGGCATTACTTAGGACCAAATCCAGGATCGCCTCTCCCCTGGTAGGTTCTGTGACCATCTGTTCCATAGCACAGTCATTGAGAGTGTATAGAAACTCAGTCTCTTTTTCCTGACTTGAACGCATATTGAGAAGGTTACGTTGGAGGTCCTGGCCTTGAGTTTCCTGCCTAGCAGCCTAAATGTTTCCTCCAGGACCTCACGACTGCATTTCCCCACATCATTGATGCAAACATGTACCACAACCACTGTCTCCTCCCCAGCACTATCTACCAGCCTATCTAGAACACATGTAATGTTCACTACCTTCACACCAGGCAGGCAAGTCACCATATGGTCAGTACATGGGTTTGCCACCCAGCTGTCTGCCTGCCTAAGGATCGAATCACCAACTACCAAGAGCCTCCTGTCAGGGCCCTGGTCAAATCACTCTTCACACACACTTCTTTAGTTGAAAGTTTTATTGGAAGATATGAGATGTTTAGGGAATGACTTCTTTTGTCAGAACTGAGGTGAAAAGGTGGGAAAGATGCATATAGTTACGATCACACATTCCATTCATACATGTCAGCAATCTATTCAGATCATGGGATTTAGGGCCCACCTCTAGCTAATCAAAGATGTTTCTTCAAGGATGTCTTCCAGTGTGAAACGATGTCTTGTTGGGGCTTCATGGTAGACCTCCAACAGCAAGCAGTCTACTTCTACAGATACACATTCGTGCTCACTCTTACTCCCCTTCCCTTCGGAATGCGGTGGCAAGTGAGGGTAGTTGATAAGACCTCTAAAATATACTCTAAGGAGGAAAAGGGTAAGCTAGGTTAAAGCAGGGAAAGATAGATGAGGGGATCATAAACAACAAGCTCATAGATACATATGATCAATCAACCCGAACCTGACATGCTGCCCCCCCAAGCCTCTGGTTTATGAGGGTGTAAGTGATGGAACTGACTGATTAGGCAAGCAGCTTTTACATGCTTAGCAAGAACCCACTCATTATGCTGAGGCCCAAATTCTCTCCACTTGACCAAGTACTGTAGTTGGCCCCAGGACATTCGGGAATCAAGGATAGCGTCCACTACTTGGTGGAGTTGACCATCTATCAGAAGAGGTGGTGGAGCTGGTGGATGAGTACTCCAGGGTGAGGGTCTGGAGTCCCTTTTCAAGAGGCTGAAATGAAACACGGCATGAATTGAACGAAGATTCTTAGGGAGATCTACCTCAACCGCTACCTTGTTAATCACTCGCACCACCTTGAAGAGTCCCACATATTCCCATCCCAGTTTCCTTCTGGTTTGCAAACCTTTGAGATCTTTGGTTGATATATACACCGAGTCCCCCGGGGATAAGTCTCACTCGGGGCTGTGTTCGCCATCTGCATATCGTTTATTGTCCTCTTTAGGTTTAGCTAGTGTTTTTTGCAATCAGTCCCAATTCTTGGTCACGTTTGACCACCACATCTGTGCATCCCCTTTAATTGGTTCATAGCCATGAACTGCCTTGAAAGGAGACATCCCTATCAAACTGTGCAGCGAGGTATTGTAACTGTACCCAGTGAAAGGCAATAAAGGTACCCAATCATTTTGTTGATAGTTAACGTAGCAATGCAAAAACTGTTCCAGTATTTGATTGGTATGCTCCGTTTGGCCATCAGTTTCAGGATGGTAACTACTGCTCAAGCCCCTTTCCACCCCCAATAGGGACATTAATTCCTTCCAGAATTTAGCAACGAATTGAGTTCCGTGGTCGGATATGACCTTCTTTGGAATTCTGTGTAATCTGATCACGTGTTGTAAAAACATAGTGGCCAGCTGCTTGGCCATGGGGATGGTCTTGCAAAGAACAAAATGCGCTTGCTTCAAAAATAGGTGTCCGGGTCGTTAGCCAGGTGACACCACACAAGGCTTCATAAGAAGATAAGTGTTTATTGATGGATCCAGAACTAATGATCACATATACAGCTTGTGTCAGGAATAGCCTTTGGTATAGGGGCCTCTGACTTATAGTGAAATCAAACATCCCCCCAAATGAGCAGAAGTCAATGATTATACTTCGCACATGCAGCAAAGCAAGCAAGCGGCAAAGCCAGCAAAAGCCGTTGGGTTCCCAGCCGAGTAATTGCAGCTGTAGACTCCAAGGTCATGCCTGAGATAACACACAGTGGCTGGACAGTGTAGAGCTGAGAAGGAGGAGAAGAAACCCCCCTCCACATTCCAGATCCATGACAGAGCTACCTGACATCCTACCCCTCCCAATGACCCCTCCCATGTTTCTCCGGAAAGTGCTGGTGGAAGCTTTTAAGAAGGCGGGGGGCGGAGACATGTTCTTCTGCCACCCATTTTCTGTGTTGTGGCCCAAAGTCCTTCCATTCAATCAAATAAAACAGTTTTTTACGCTTCATCTTAGAGTCCAAGATATCAGCAATTTCATGATGCGGTTCGCCTTGCAAGAGCAGGGGAGGGGGGCTGGGTTGCTGCGGTCGCCACACATTTGGCCCGGGATCACGGTGGAGAAGGCTGAAATGGAAAATGCAATGCAAATGTCTCGGGTTCTTAGGCAATTCAAGTTCCACAGCCACCTCATTGATCTTACGGACAATTTAAATGGCCCCACAAATTTCCACTCCAATTTCTGACTGGGACGCAGCCCTTAAAATGTTTTTGGTAGATGCATAGATGGAGTCCCCTGGTTGGATGTCCCAGCAATCAGACCGTTTCTTATCAGCCTGAACCTTGTAGGCTTGTTTAGCAGCGTCCAAAGTCTTACACAATACTGGCCAGGCGTTTTTCAGGCACTGGCACCATTCCCCCACTTCCCCCAATGGGAGAGGATCGTCCGACAGGAATGGGAGAGGCGGGGCCTCATAACCATAAACCGCCATGAAAGGAAGACACCCCAGTGGATGAATGACAGGCATTATTATAACAAAATTCAGCGGGGGAAGGAGCCCCTCCCAATCATCCTGTTGAAAGCTAGTGAAACACCAGAGGTACTGTTCAAGGGTTTGTTTGACACGTTCCATTTGCCCATCAGTCTCAGGGTGGTAAGCGCTACTGAGCCCACGTTCCACCCTCAACAGTTTCATCAGTTCACCCCAAAATTTTGAAACAAATTGCGTTCCGCGGTCGGAGATTATCTTCCACGGCAAAGTATGGAGGCGGAAGATGTGTTGGAGCAAAGCCTTGGCCAGGAGGCGGGCCGTTGGTAGCGACTTAAACAGGATAAAATGAGCCTGTTTCAAAAACAGATCCACTACTACCCAGATTACAGTTTCCCCCTTGCTAGGGGGTAAATTCATGATGACGTCCATAGAAATGACTTCCCATGGCCTCCCCGGGGTGGGAAGAGGTTGCAATAGTCCTGGAGGCTTCCCCAGTTGAGGTTTGCACGTAATGCAGGTTTGGCATGACTGAACAAAGAGGGAGCGATCCTTCCACATTCCAGGCCACCAGAATTGCCGTTGTAGCAAGTGCATTGATTTGACAATCCCCAAATAT